AGTCAAAGTCAAAGTGTACCCAACCCAGGCCTCCGGTCAGACGCACACATTTGTTTGTATGCAGGTACCCAGACAGCATCAGGTCCAAGGGGAAGTCTGCAACTGTACACAATCCAGGCCCTCGGCCGTGATTCAATCTGAACGACTGTGAGGAGGGGACCCGAGGCCAGACAGCCTCGTCAAACACTGCAAATGAACTGGTCTCGAGGTGGTCAACATTCAGTCTTGCTATGCTGCTTGGACGCTGGCTCGACTGTGACTGGACGCTTGCATTGACGCTGGCACGACGCTGGCACGACGCTGGCGAGATTCTGGCGAGACGCTGGCTGTGCGCATGCACTGTGGACGACGACGCGGGGTTGTGGCAGCATGCTGGCGCTTTCTGTTCTGTGCGGCAGACATTGCTGATGCGGCGCTGCCACTTGTCATAATTGCTAATGTGGTGCTGCCACTTGTCTATCCTGCTGATGCGGCGCATACCACTTGTCTGCATTGCTGATGTGGCGCATGCCACAGATCTACATTGCTGATGTGGCGCTGCCGCATGGCTACATTGTGGTGCTGATGTGGTGCTGCCACCTGCCTACATAGTGGTGCTGATGTGGCACTGCCACCTGTCTTCATTGATGATGTGGCGCATGCCACCTGTCTCTACATCTGACATGGCATAGGCCACGCTGTCTACATGAGGTGACTGGTTGCGAGGAGGAGGGAGATAGGGATCTGTGGTTGATTGGGAACGGGTACTCACCTGAGGTTGACGTCATTACTATATTCTGCTGTTGTCTTCATGGTCGTCTCAAGATAAGAGTGCCACGTGGCATTTCTGTGTGATCAGAACTTTTCAGACTTGTTACTATTATTGATTGATGACGTGGAGGGAGAAGAAGCCCGGAGGAGTGGGATTGGTTGGGCTATTATCGTGTGGTCTTTGATTATTCCATCCACCTTCTCCCTTGTCTATCCTCCCTCCACTCTCTTCGTGTATTGGTAACGAGATACTGTTTCGGATATCACTTCACGATGATAGGAGACTTGTGCAGATCTGAGACTACTTGTGGTTGGACGTCTGATGAGTATCTGCCAGACTGGGTTCATTACACAAGGAACACAAGGCAACATAACGAAAAAGAACAACCACACAAGACAACCAACAAATCATAGAACGACAGGCATCAGCGAAGGACAAAAACTGGAGGGCACGGGGGAGGCAGGAGGGAAGAGAAGAAGACAACATACAGAACAGGAAAACCAGCAAAAAAATACAAGTCCAAAACAAATGCACAGACTGAAAAAAATAAAACTGATGATAGATTATAGGAAAGGTAAGAAGGGAAGCTGACCCACAACCCCCAGCCACCTATTCAAAATAGACAAGGCAAACGAAGGGGCAAACGTTAGGCCAAGTGAGATTTCAAGGGCAGGGGGAATAGTGTGAAGTTGGGAACCCTCTAAGGATCACTCCCTGGAGTACACAGAAGGATAGAAATTCAGAGAAAGCCCAGATCGTAAGTCCAGAAGAATTGCAGCTCAGGAATCCCTTGGGTTTAGGGTTTAAGACCTAGCAGATTTCGACAGTAAAAAGGCCTAGCTAGCGATTCCAGCTCCCAATGCAATTCTGACAGTCAAGTAGCTGAGAGGAAAAAGCGGGATTGGGCTTGCTTAGACAGACGGAAAAGGGTAAGGGAGGCAAAGTAAGCTGGTCTAGCGATCAGTTCCAAAATTAAGTCATGCAGGCTATTATAGGCAGGGGTGAGAGGGGGGCACATCCTCCCCCAGGGAAGTAACCAATGCTGCCCCTCGGGCTTCTCAACCACAATGGGGAGGAGCGTCTGTGAGTATCCATTGTAAATTTCTTATGACTTGCCGGTGGAATAGGAACTGGACTGAAGCTCCTCAGAATGGAAAGGAGCCAGAACCGCAAGGTTCTGTTTTTTTGGGAAAAAAAAAAAAAAAACTGATGATAGATTGTTTCGTTGGAGTTGCACCGACTCATCAGGAGGCTGAACCCTTGACAATCTGCGAAATCTCTGTATTTGATGGTTTGGGTCATAAACCCTTCGACCCATGTTGAATGCAGACTGTCCCCAAGCGGAACAGAGCAGCAGGCAGCAACCCTGCGGATTCACCAGGCAATGCAGTAGAGCCAACACGGCTGCAGAATCCCAAAAACGACTGGAAGGAATGACACGGCACGCAGGACACATAACGCGGCAGCCACGCAGTGAAACACAAGGCAACACCACCAATGCAACCACACTGCAAAGGATGACAGGGCGAGCGGACGAGAAGCACAGCAACCGTGCCGTGAAGCACAAGGCAACACCAACAAGGCAACCGAACTACAAGGTGCTCAAGCAAAGGACACGGAAGGCACGGCCAGCGGAAGGGCAACAAGGAAGCCGAGCAACGAAGCACAATGCAACACCAACAACAGGGCAGCTTGCCAAGAACGACCTGTGAAGCACGCGGGACAGGCAGCAAGGCAGTGGCGGAGCGCAGACGAGGCAGTCCACACATCCAACACAGAGCAAAGCAGCACATGACCTACTCACATCACAGACTATTGGTTCCCACCACCCACTGAACGAGGGAGTCACTCCGACGGGAGTCACTCCGACAGACAGACATCATCACCCGTAGGGCAGACACACATCTCGAACTGAGCCCGCCCCCTAAGAGTGCTGTAGGCACTCCAAACGAGGAATGACCGACTGTTTGGCACTGCTTAAGGGTGGTCAGCTCAGCATACAAACAGACTGAAAAAGTAATTGAAAAAATAGGAAAAAAGCAAAGCATACAAAAAAACAAGAGACAGACAAACATACATCCATAACAATGATTGTGTGTGTGCGTGTGTGTGYGTKTGT